CACCTCAATCCCAATTCTCTCCAAAAGGGCTCGGACCCCGCCCTGAGTCTTACAGCCCCGACCTGTGCTGTGGGGGTGCAGGGGCAGGAGCCCCGACAGCGTGTCTGACTCAGGGAGGACGTGGGCTGACTCAGCTGCAGGCAGCTCTGAAACCCTGACGCTGCTTCCTGAAAGCCTGCAGGGAGTCCGGGAACACAGGACTGGGTGGTGAGTCAGGGGGAGGGGGCGGTAGGACCAAGGCTCTGGGGGACCCCAGCCTCCCACTCTGGATGCAGGAGCAGGGAGGCCGGACGTCAGGACACAGAAGCCAGCAGGACACACCCCCGGCCCTGCCCCGCCCACCTCAGCACCTGGGGCATCCTGACCACATCCACACCATGTGTGGGGTTCACTTGTAGGAGGAAAAAGTGAGAAGAGTGAGGGTGAGGTGGGGCGGACAGGGCCTGTCAGCCCGAGACGCGGCACAGCCGCCGGGCCCCCCGAGCCGCCTCCCTCGAGGACGGCCGCGCACCAGCCTTCCCTTGCTGGAGGCACAGACCCAGCCACACTCCCGCAGGTGAGAAAAGAAAACCGCTTCGAAAAAGCTCCTCCTCTCCCAAACTGTGTGGTGGCCACACTCCACCTGAGGACACAGCTCCCGCTGGCCGAGGCAGGGGTCAGCGTCTCAGCAGATGACCCCTCCGTGAACCCTGGGTGGCGGGGATCTGCTCAACCCAGCGAGCCACCACCTCACAGGGCCGTCCACACCACCCTTGGCCGGGCCGCACCCGTCCCCAGTGCCCTCTCCCGGGCGACGAGCTGAAGAGGGCAGGGGCGCCCCAAGGTGGCTCGCTGGGCAGGCGCTGGCCACTGGGGTGGACTTTCCGTTGACACAGATGGCTTTGGCCCCTGCACACCTAGGCCCCCGGGGTGTCTGCTTCACCTCACACCGTCTTGCTTCAGCGACAGTCCTGGAAACGGCACTGAACTGCGTCACCACTTTAAACAGCAGATGAGCTGTTTTCCTCTCCGAGTTTCGTAAAATAAAACACAGCTGACCCTTGAACAACGAGGGGCAGGGGATGGGGAGGTCAGAGGCACCGACCCCACAACAGGCCGAAAGCCCGCCTGTAACCTCAGAGCCGGCCCTGGGCATCCGCAGATGGCGCAGTGCTGCGCGTAGTTACTGGGCCCGCCCGGCCCAACCCTGCTGCTCAGGTCACTGCGGCCAAGACTCCCTCTATCGGCACAGGGGCCAGAGCTTCGGCCGTGGGTGTGAGGGGCTGCCGGGACCCTGCTGAGGCAGCAGCTCGCTGCCCGTCAGCGCTTCCTCCCCGCCGTCCCTCGGCAGATGCAAACCACACCATGACACCACTTTCCTGCTTCCGCAGGAAAGCAGCGCAAGATCCGCACACCTCAGGAACCTCGCTGTCACCACAACTCCTGGCGGCTCTTTGACCCCAAGGCCCGACTGGGGTGGCCTGCACCCCCGCCCCCGCCCCCACTGTCCTCGGCGCAGCGGGTGCTCCCGTGGGGGCTGGGGGAGCACACGGTGGTCACTGAAAGGCACTGAAGGGAACTGAGCACACCCTGAACCCAGGAATGCTGGAGACCCCCGAGAAGGAGCAGAGGACCAGGCGTGCACCTTGGGGAGGGGCCTTCTGCTCCCTGACCTGGCCCCACGGCCCCTGGGCCTGGTGTCCAGCACATCTGGGTGCGAGTCTGCAGCCCCTGGAACGGGGCCCCAGGGCCTGGTAACTGGCGAGGTTGGATGGTTTGTAAGGGTTGGGGTCCACTACACTCGCTTCTGCTTCTAGGTGCCTTTAGAATATCCCACAGTTAAATTACTTTCCAAACAACACGACTAGATGTGGGCTCTCCCTGGTCAGGGACGCCGCCTGCCACACCCACTGCCTCGCTGCGCATGAGTCCGGGCTGCCTGGGGGCCCAGGGCTGTACCTTGACCATCTCCTGCAGAACGGCCAGCGCCTGCTCCTTTTCCTCCAGGAGCTGCTGCAGCTGAGGGTCCAGGTGCTGCCAGGGCTCACCAGCTGGGCCCTGACTGAAAGGCAAACACTGGGCCCTCAGGCCAGCAGGCCAGCAGAGGCAGGGCTAGGATGGTAGGGTGTTGGAGATGGAGGCCCACCCGCCGCACGCACAGTGGCCCATCTTCTCCGGAGCCCTCTGACTCCAAAGGGTCTCTGCCCTGGAGGGTGCTGAGGGGCTCAGCAGGCCTGCAAGACACATGGATACATCAGCTCAGAGCCTCTGGCGCCAGAAGGGCCTGGCCTGGCTGCAGCACACAGTGGGGCCTGTGGACAGGGCCGCAGGCCCCCATTTGTCCAGGGGGGCAGTCAGGGCTCTCTCTGAGCGAGGCCCTGCCCTCAGGGGAGGCCTGCCCTCCCTTCAGGGGTCAGGATACTAACAGTGTGTGCAGGGGTGGTGAGTCCCACCCTGGGCCCATCAGCATCAGTGCTGGAGGGTCCTGGCTCCTGCGAAGGTTTCAAAAGTTGCACGGTAAGAGGCGGCCAAGGGGGGCTGACTCCCTGCTTGTAGCCAACATGCCTGCCCACGTCTCCCTGGGATGGGCGAGGTTGGGAAGATGGTAAGCGGAGGATGCAGAGTGGGGAGCACTTCTGAAAAGGAGAGCAGGTGGGTCGGGCTGGGAAGGGACCCAGAACTGGGCTCGCAGGGGCACAGCCAAGGATTTTGCTGCAGTCTGGGCCCCAGGGGCTTCTTCCCCATTCATTTCCTGGTTTTACTCTCTCATTGGCAGGTAACAAGACCACGTCCAAACGCAGCGGGTTCCAAGGCTTCCGACTGCTGTCTCACGTCCAGCCAGGTCCGTGTGGTTGGGGGTGGCCTCCACCTTCTCCCTCAGGGCACACAGATGGGCTCAATGGCCCCAGGCGTGTTGGCCGCCACCTTTCGGATATCTTCCTCAGAGACTCAGACACGTAGCTTGTGGAAGACTTTCCTGCAGAGGAATCGGGGGTGCAGCCCTCAGAGCCTCTGTGGGGAGATGCTGGCCTGGGGGCCTCTGTGCCCGTCCCCATCAAGGCCCAGTGGCCATCTTGTTCCTGGCCACCCCACCAGGGATCACAGAACACAGGCGCCCAGTACCTTCAGGCCACGCGAGTCCTAGCCTGGGCCACCACCTCCCTGACGCGTGTCCCAGGGACTCTGGGTAGAAAACTTCTCTTCCTGCCTGAGTCAGGCTCTGCTCTGTGAGGAAGTCCGGCTGATTCACCTCCAAAGTGCAGGGGTCTGACCTCAGCACATCTGCCTGCAGCTGCCACCCTCCCGCCTCTGGGGGTCAGAGCAGCTGCCTCCCCTGCCTCCACCTCCCCCAATCTCCTCTTCCCTGGCAGCTCTCCGAAGCGAGTCCCATCGGAACCTGCTGGGCCTGGACCCTGCCAAGCATGGTCCCCCCAGACACTGCCCTCTGAGGACCCTCAGTGGCTCTGAGTGCCCCTCTCTGCCCAGCCTCAGGGACTCAGGGTCTCCCTCCCCACCCTGTAGGTCACCCCCACCTCGCTGTGCTCACTGTCACTTCCTCACAGGTCCTGCCTTGTTGTCCTTCATGCTCCCTCACAACTGACACTGGGTCCACCTCCTGGTGGATTTGTCTTCCCCCTAGACTCACAGCTCCATGAAGGCCAGGGCCCACTTACTGCCATGTCTGCTGTGCCTGAGTAGAGTCTGCCACCCAGAGCTATGCATGAGTGAGTGGGTGGGAGCTGTGGTCAGCAGGGGCTGGACGCACAGTCAGAGGGCAGGACTGACGCCCTGGTGAGCAGGTCTCAAGCTCCTGGTGGGGCGCCCCGGAGCCCCAGGTTGATGGTGAAGTTCCAGTGAACAGGAACTGGACGAAGAGTCAGGGGAACCCACAGCAGAGGAGCAACCTGAGAACTTGTCCCAGAGGCTGGGAAGGGCTCGGGGAGGCTGCCCCAGGCCAGCCTTGAGGGGAAGGGGCCCCAGCGCGAGAAGTGGGGGCCCCCGCGGAAAAGGCAGGGAGCACAAAGCCTGCACGGCTCTGCGGGCAGCAGTCCGCCGGGCCCAGCCCTGCCTGCTGAGGACGCTCCAGCTGCTGAGCTTCTGGTCTGCGCTGCAGGTGGGGAAGTAGCTGTGCGGGTCCACGAGCCTATCCGGGGGTGGGGGGTGGAGGTGGGTGGCGGAAGAGCTTCACGATCCACGCCAGCATCGCTGGGGTGGAGCCGGCAGGGGCGCAGGTGAGCGGGGCCTGCGGAGCTAGGGCTCCTTGGCTTCCTCAAAGGGGCGGATGAGCACCAGAGGAGTCCTGGGGGCGACTGCTGGGGTGTGGGAGTCCCGGGGAGAGGGCTGTGGGGGTGTGGGGGAGTCCCGGGGGAGAGGGCTGTGGCAGCTGCCGCCCCCCTCCCCCGTCTGCTGGAGGCCGGAACCCCGTGACGAGTTAGACGCACAACCGGCCCCTGGCCTTGGCCGCACTCCTCCTGGGGGGCCGTCAAGGCAGCACCCCACCTTTGCCCCACCCCGTTTCCCCGTCCTGCCCGCCCTCCAGGGCGCCCCGCACGCCCCCGCTCTGGGGTCTTCTGAACTTTGCATGGAGCTCGGGGAGGGGAGATCCTTCCCGGGGCACGGCCCTCGCCCGGGGCTCTCGCTGGCGGGAGGGATGGCGGCCGGGCTCCTCCCCTGAGCGGAGAGCGCCGGGACCCGGCGGCGGCCCTGCCCCCGCGGCGGGCCCCCGGCCCCCGGCCCGGCTGAAGTCCCGGGCCAGGTGGCGCTTGCGGCGGCGGAGCGGGAGCGCGTCCAGCCAGGCGTAGAGGCCGCAGAGGGCGCCGGGCGGCCACGGCGGCGGGGCCAGGGGGCTCCCTGGCCGCTCGTCAGGCCGTTGCCGGGAGACGGGCCGGAAGGGCGGGGCCGTTGCCGGGAGACCGGGGCGGGGCGCCGGCTGCCCTCCTCCGCGCCGGAGGGCCTGGCTGTTTACTTCGGGTTCGCGAGGGCTTACGATCAAGTTAAGAAAAGCAGGGGGAAAGTTTGACTTTATTCATTTACAGTAGACGTTTTATTTTAATAAGCGTCAGACCCTTCAATCTTATAAACTCCACATTGTTTCGCCGCACCATTTTTCACTGATCTAGTAAAAATCTCCCCTCATTTAGAACTTGATCAAGAACTTAATCATAAAATACAAAAAAATTCAACGCTTTCAGCCCTGCTGAATGTGCACCTGAGGTTTCAAAGACCCAGACAAGACCCCAGTGGCTGTCTGGAGACACGTGGGTGAGGAGGGACTGGACTGACCCCAGGAAAGAGCATAGGTGACCCATTCCCGAGGCCAGGGGGAGAGGCCCTTGGCTGTGACCCTGGGATGCCGAAGAGTGACCCCGGCCACGAGGAGATGGCGCTTCTCTTAGGACTTCTCACAGTGGGCGCAAGAGCACAGAGGGCCTGGGGCCAGGGGGCTGCATCTGCCGTGCGGGTGGCAAGGTCCCGTGAACCACAGGCAACGTCCGGACTGGTACACAGATGCCCCCAGGGTGCTCTGAGCTTGGGCCCCATCACCTCCTCTGGATGAGGGGTTTCAGAGCAACCTTTGGGCCAACAGCTCCCTTGGAGGAGGAAAAAAGAACTGATTTTAAAACCCACTTGCTACAAAGAGCCCAACTGAATCGAACTTCCTTTCACTTTTTAAAAAATTCAGATCCTCAGTTCATCCCACACTGTGTGCACTCAGTGAGAGCTGTGATAGCCGTGATATTAGCAGCTGACACTTTATAAAGAGTGGACCCCCCCACTCCAGTGGAGCAAAAAGGCAAGTTCACAGCCAGTAGGACCAGCATCACTGACAGAAGGCAGCAGAGTTAACCCTCTTGGGCAGCGCAGGTGGACACTGCCCTGTGTGAAAGGCGCTCACCGACTGGGTCCAAGCTTGGCCTCCCCCGCCCCAGGCTTGACGGGTGGCAACGGGGGCGTGCAAGTTGGCTTGATGACCTGGGAGGAGGTAGACACAGCTGATGGCGGGACATGCCAGGGCACCATCTTCCCAGCATCTTCTAGAAAGTTCCCTGGGTTCCCTGCTCTGCTCCTGACTGGACTTCAGGCTTCTCTTTGCTAAGCCCGCTAAAGAAAAGCTCCCCCAACACCCTTCCCACCCATGGCTGTCCCCATCCCAGAACGAAACCCAAATGTGGCAGGGCTCCGGTTCCCGGGCCCATCAGCCCGTCACCAGCTGGCCCTCTTCCCTCATCTCGCCTCAAAACCCCTATCCACCCCACGCAGTAAAGCTCTTAAGTTGCCAGAATGTGAGTCTTTGGAGTTCAAATTCGCATTTGTTTGCACTTCTGCTTTTCCAGAGCCACCTAGGCTCTGGGCTCCAGGGTGCAGGAGGAAGGCCTCAAGCTGCAGCCCAGCTCAGCCCAGGCCCACAGGAACCGGAACGGGAATGGAGGGAGGCCCACATACTCAGAATGGCCTGCTGAGCAGCTGGGGGAAGTCCTGTGCACGCCCTCCTCCAGCACAATCCGGGCGCACGGCTGCCACCAGAAATCTCTACCCACTCCCCCTCCCTGTTTGGCCTGTCAAGACCCCTTCTAAGACTTTTCTTAAAGACTATTTTTGTAACTTTAATGTAAGTCTAAAATTACTTCAAAGTAAAAAGTTAAAAAGGAAAGAGAAATAGAGAATTTCTGTTAAGCAAACACCATAGTGTGGTCTTTTAATGGGGCAGGACCCCGCCGGAGGCTTCGTGGGTCAGTCTAAGGAGTGACAGGCTGGGCGTCTCTCTAAGTATGTCCAAGACACTAACCACAAAGGGAAGACGGGCCCTACAGTGATTTGATTCCCCACAGACACCACTGCAACCAAGCAGTGACTTAACACCCCTGTGAGGACAGACTGACATGGGGCCCCACAGAGCGCCAGGTGGGCAGAGCCCTGTCCCAGGAGGGGGGCACTACCTGTTCCTCTGGGGGGCCTTCCTGCCCCCGCAGTCTTCCCCCCTTGCCTGCCAGGAGGTGAGTGTGTCTGTCCAGAGGCACCCGAGGGGCTCCCAGCCATGGAGGGGACCCTCCAGGGCCAGACTTTGTGAGAGTGCAAGGGGCATCCCCGGCGAGCCCAGTGGCGGAGGGCTGGCGGGGGGCACCAGTGACGCGTATCTGGGAGAGAGCTTCCCCGAACCCCTGAAGCCTCAAACCAGAGGAAGCCTGATGATGAGCCCCCATAAGCCCCGCGTCCCAAAGGCCAAGTCCCCTTACCTGTTTGGGCTTCAGCGCTGGCAGGGGCTTGGCGGGAGGAGCAGGTCTGGGCTGGTGGGAGAGCAGAGCAGTCAGGACCCCCCGGTCCCCTAGGTCCAGTTCACGTCCTCACTGGGCCACAGGGCAGGTGGTCAGCCCCCGAGGGTGCAGCTGCCACTACCCTGGGGTCCCTGGCGAAATCCAGCCCCAGCCCCTCCACCTCCACAGCTTAGCTGTACCCACATGGCTCACCTGGTCTGGGGCCTGCTGGGTGTACACAGGGACTGGGCAGAGTGGGCTGGACATGGCAGCTGGGCGCTGCAGGGAATGGGCATGAGCAGGGGTCTCACAGGGCGGCCACCAGCAGGGACCCCTGGCTTCAGAGCTGCCCTTCGCCCAGCTAAGGACCCCCCGGAGGGAGAATAAAGCCCCATGTGCGCGTGGGGCCATGTCCTCCATCAGTCTGCTGCGGGCCTGCCCCCCAGACCTGTGGACGCACGGAGGAACTGGGCAGCAGTGAGGATGACGGATCTCGCAGAGGCCTTGGGCCTCAGATTCAATCCTGCCACCAGCTCACATGGGTCCTCAGATCGCTCATTCTGAAGCCTTGTTTCTCCTCTAAATAGGTGACAGTGGTGGCCACTCTAAGCCCCTGGGGACCGTACCCTGGCATGAGATTTGGGGGAGGCCTGGGGGGCCCGCTGGGGATGGCAGATGCTTACAGCAGGGGGAGGCCGTTTAGGGGTCACCACAGAGGCCGTGGGCCTGGGGGGTTGGCAGGGACGGGACGTGAGGATCGGTTCTGGGGGCCCCTTGGGGGGAGCTGTAACCCTGCCCTTCACTGGTGAGCTGTTCCTCTCATGGAAGAGAGGGTTGGAGAGCCCCACAGCCGTCTTGGGCGCCACATTCCTGGTGAGAAATAAGGTGAGTCAGTGCGTCCTGGCCTCAGGATTCAGTCCAGGACTTGGGGCTCCTCATGTAGGGTCCCCAGGCCTGGTCAGGGTCCTTTTCAGCTGCAGCTGCCCCTATGTGGTGCGCTGGTCACAGCCACTCGAGGAGGGGGAGGTAGCCTCATGTGTCCTGGGCCCCATCGGTTCTAGGGTCCAGTTGAGCTGGGCGGGAGGTGCTTGGAGGCCACTGGGCAAGGGTGCCCTGCTGTGGCTGGCCTGGGGCTTGAGGTCCCCACAGAGCGGGTGTCAGGGACCCCCAGTGCAGGGAAGGCTCAGAGTGCCGTGTCCAAGGAGGGCGGGTGGCCGGTGCCAACTGGGGTCAAGTGTGTGGGGGAGGAAAGGGCTTCTCTGAGCTTGCACATTACCAACCTGTCACCACTGCTTACCACCTATTCAGCGAGAGGCAGGGGTCCCTCGTGAGAGGTTCCCTTCTCCAACAGTGCGAACAGGGGGCACGCTCTGCACACATGGGTGCCTTGCAACCCCAGAAAGCCCTCACCTCTTCCGGACTGGGCTCCAGCCCTTGCGATAGATGACCACTCCTGCCACGGTGAGTGCCAGAACCACCAGGAGCACCACAGGAACCAGCACGCCCATCTGGAAGCTGCTGGATGCTGTGGGGGCATAGGAGGCTGGGTGTCACCAGGGCCGGACCTGGCTCGGGGCAGCAGGGGCCCCAGGGGGTGCCTTCCTCACACCCCTCCTTGGCCATGCCGACAACCCGGAGCCCTGGGTCCTCCCCTAAATCCCAGGGCCATCTAAGGACCCTTGGCCTTGAGACCCAGTGCATTGCACTGGTGCTCTGGGCTCTCCGATGACCGGTCGGAGGGCTTGGCAGTGGATGGCCCCAGGCCCACAGTGATATGGGTGGAGCCCAACCAGATCTAGAGGCCGTGGTGCTATGGATGGCCACATGTCCAGTGGCCACTGCGGAGGAAGATACTTCAGAGGGTGGGGGGCCCTGAGGTCCCCGGGCCCAGGCTGGGGCCGACAGTCCCGCCAGGAGCTGGCGCTATCCTGTGCTGCTCCTGCTCCGCTCCACCCAGGCCGGCCCCCCGTCTCAGTAGGGCTGAGGTGGGGGCACAGGCTCCTGGGCCCTGCCCTGGACCCCAGGGGTCAGAATGTCTGGGGCTGCAAAGCCACGTCTTCAATATGCTGCTCACAGTTTAGGGGCACCTGGCTTGCCTCTCAGCCCTGCCCCAGTGGTCTGAGAAAAGACAGAACCCTGACCAGACCCCGGAGGTGGCGCGGGCCCTACCTGTGCGCACATCGGACAGCAGCTCTGCGCAGTAGGGTGGGGCCCAGCCAGGGTGGCAGTGGCACTGGTCCTTGTGATTGCACACCTGGGGGACAACCAGGCATCAGGGTCTCCAGACCCCCGCCACTGCACCGCCTGGTGCCCACCCAGGTGCCATCTACTCCCGAGTCAGCAGGCCCGGCCTCAGCCTGCAAGGGGCTCTGCCCCGGCTTCCGCTGATGGAGGACGGGCTGGGCGTCCAGGGCTGCCACCATCAACCCACAGCAGCCCCTCCCCCGGGTGATGGAGGAGGGCTCCGATCGACAAGGCTTTCTGAGCAAAGCAGGACGCCGCAGGGCAGGCAGGGCAGCTTTGTGGTGGGCCGTCCTCCCCGAGACGGGGGCACAGAGGGCCCTGCCCTGGGGCTCTGACCTCCCCTGCATCACAGTACATGTTATTAGGAGCTCAGAACAGAACACTTCCAATCTGACCAGCCTGGCCTGTGTGTTCTCCAGCACTGTGAGCACCCTGGGATGCCCAGATCCACGCCAGTTCCAGGCCTGAGAGGCCCCCGTGGGCTCCTGGCACAGTCCCCGGGCGCGGGCCTCTGCCCTGTTTGCCTGGGCTGCCCCGAGCACAGCCTACACATCTTTGAGTCCAAAGGGTTGGTGGCAGGCCGTCCCCTGGGCCCACGTACCCCGTGGTTGCTGCACCGGGCAGAGCAGTTTCTGGATCTGTAAACGTGAAAGTCCCGGCAGAGTCCTTTCCAGCAAACCTGGGGGGCAGCGGGGAACTCTTAGGTAGCCAGTCTAGAACCTGCTTGGAGAACTGCCCCCCCATCAGTTGAAGCCCACCTGAAACCTGCAGCTGTGCTTCGGACAGGGAGGGGTGTGCCACGGCCCCACACCCAGGACAGCCCCATCTGCAGCCCAGCCTAGGCCCCCAAGGCCACAGAGGAGCGCCCCACCCGTCCCCGGGGAACTTGCAGAACAGACAGCCTTCAAATCCCTCAGCTGAGAAGGGGCTACTCCCCCAACGCTGAGAGCCTCCCGAGTTTCTACCCAGAACAGAGGCTACTGCACAGCCCTCCTCCCGCCAGGCTTTGGGCCCCTCGAGCTAATCCTGGGGACCCAGCAGTCTGACTGCAGGCTGCATCCAGCCCTACCTTCTCCTCCCCGCACCTGGCGCCTTCAGGCACCGGCTCGTAGGCAGTGCTGTCGTCCTGGCGCAGAGCCTGGCAGGCGCCCATGCGGGAGTAGATGGTGCAGGAACCTCGCTCCAGGGGCTTCTGCCCGCCCTCGCAGAGCAGAGTGCCACACATGTTGACCCTGAGGGCAGAGGGGTGTGCCAGGAGCCAACTCCACAGCGTCTCCTGCTGAGGGGACTAGGAGCTGTAGGCAAGGCCTAGGACCCTCGGATGGGCTTTGGGGTCCACCCACAGGTGTTCACACCCCCAGCCACAGTGACCCACCCTCCCACAAGGGCAGCAGGCCCGGGGGTCCTAGAAGGCAGGGCAGGCCCTGGGAGAGTCCCCTGACTCAGCCTGCAGACTCCTTGGTGGCCCCACCTATGGGGACATCCCACACCCTGGGCCCAGGGGACGCCAGGTCACGAGAGTGGACTATTACCGTGTCAGACGCCCGAGGGGGGACTCCCGGCTGCTGCAGCCTGACGGAGAGTGCTGGTGGTGTAGCACATCTCCGGCGGCAA